TCCTAGGAGGCGGTTCCGCTCCAAGCAGATGACTGCAAGGATGATTTCTGCGAAAACATCCCAGCAGGAACTGCTTGGAGAGGAGTTCATTATGCTCCTTRACTGGGAGCATAAGCGTCTCGCTATGTAGGTGCTCGATGGGAGACATCAGGAGGCATCCCGTCGTGGTCCGGAGTGCTGTATTCTGACAGTCTGTAGTTTGCTCATCTGCGTGCTACTGCATCCAGGCGACCATATGGGTGCTGCATAGTTGAGGACCGGCCGGCCAATTGCCTTGTAAGTTGCCAACAACGTTTCTTTGTCTTTTCCCCATGTGCTGCCGGCTAGCGATTTGAGGATTTTGTTGCGGCTCTGTACTTTGGCGATGATCGCGGTCGTGTGTGGAGAGAAGGAGCATAGACTGTCGAAGGTAACACCTAAAATTTTAGGGTTATTGACAGTCGGAATTTTGACGCCGTCGACTGCAATATTAAGTTCCAGTCTATACTCCTTCGTCCAGTTCGTGAATATGGTCGCTGGGGATTTGGTAGGGGAAAGTTGGAGGTTCCGTTGAGTGAGGAAAGGAGGAAGGTCGGAGAGGTAGTTGTTTACCTTCGAACACATGCCATCGGTTCCATTGCCCGACGTCAATATCGTACAATCATCAGCGTACGAGGTTATGGAAACCCCCTCTGGTGGTTGCGAGACTTTCGAGATGTAGAAGTTAAAAAGTAGCGGGGAGAGGACACCACCCTGCGGAACCCCCTGTTTAATTCTTCTCAGTTTAGATGTTGCGCCTCGAAATAGTACGGATGTTTGGCGACCGTTCAGATAGTTCATGGTCCACCTCTTTAGCCCTGGAGGAAGTGTGTTTTTCTCAATGTCCTGCAGTAGCGTTGTGTGATTGACCGCGTCAAAAGCTTTTGACAGATCCAACGCTACGAGGATCGTTCTYTCACAGGGTGGTTTCTGGTTGAGGCCACGAACTATCTGAGCGTTTATGACGCTAAGTGCTGTGGTGGTACTGTGCATTTTACGGAATCCATGCTGGTGGCTGGCTAGGCTCAGATGGTGAGTGAAGGTTGGGAGTAACAAAGCTTCAAGTGTCTTCACTACTGGGGAGAGGTGAGTTATCGGGCGATAACTGGGTTGGCGGGTTTCCCAGGTTTCAGTAGTGGGACCACTCTTCCGACTTTCCATACATCGGGTATTTGAGGAGGTTGAGTACCTTGGTGATATATTTTACTCCCATCGAGCCTAGATGCTTTAGCATTAGCATGTTGATTCCATCAGGGCCAATGGACATGGTGGATCATCAGTCTTGGTATGGGGCTGATTGACTTCATTCTGGGTAAGACTACTTGCATATGTTGAAGCAAAATGACTACATGTATTTACACGTGGTTGTACTGGAATTGGTATATATAAACATACAAATTCTGAAATTTTCTTCGTAAATGGAAATTACGTCGATGTTTTACCAGGGTCGTTAAGGACTGGCCTGCAATAAACTACATTCAGTGTCCCGAGTGGCCTACCTAAAGCCCGGACTTAAACCCCATAGAGAATCTGTGGATGATTATTAAGAAAGCAGTTGCTTCAAGAAAACGTCCTAATAAGGTTAGACAGTGGCAAATTTTAAAGTTCGAATGGAGCAAAAATATCCCAGACCACTATAACTCACTGGTTCGTATAATGAGCAAACGCTTCAGGGAAGTGATTTTGCAAAAAAGGTCCCCAACAAAATACTGGACTAAATAAATAATGTTATTCAAACAAATCATCAAATTATTTAATCTAACGTTTTTTAAATTTAAATTTAAATTAATTTAGTTTTGTGAAACTTTTTTCGAAATATCAATAAAAATCAAATTTTATGAGTTTGTTCAACGTAATGTTAATGTGGCTTAATGATGTGAGTGCATGTGTACCACATGTAAAGCTGTGTTCATGGAAATAGTATTTTACGAATATACCATAAACAGTTTAATTTTTCAATAATATTTGTATATTTTACTATGTATGTAGGACCAACACCAAATTAATTTAATAATAAACAACTTTGCTTTTATTGATCCACATCACATTTCACCACTTTGTAGATGGCTAAATGAAACGTTCTCTTGCTAGTTTTACTTTCGGGGAACTTCGTATCACCAAGTTGTCTTCAAATATTCCACCAAAATAATCACTCTTGTTGACTTGTCAGGTTAGAATATGTTAGGAAAGATTTTTAGATATAATATAAGAAGTTTTAGCACTACTATTTTCATGAATTCGACTGTACATATGTCTATTAATAAGGAGAGAGCCTGAAAGTCAAATCAGTTGCAACTTTTTCTTTCTAAATTTGGATATAAACTTATATCAATATATCGTTATTTCCAACTAAAGGAAACGAACGTAGTTGGTTTTGCAGTTGTAGTGCAAGATCTGTTCCTGATCCGTTTGAAAATACTGTTAGAATAAATGTTTATGTATTTACGAATAGGACTCAAGAGCGTTGTCACAAATGAAACAAATATATTAAAATGAAATAAAGTAAATGATTACCATCAAATATCTATCTTATAGCAGCAGAGCTATAACAACAACTACATAAAAGTTATTTACAGACATCTATTGGAAAACGATATAATTACATACGGACTTCGGAGCAGATTTGAAATAAATGATAGTATGTTCTAGCCTTAAACATCAGCTGTCTTTTAAACTAACTCAGGTATGTTTTATGTTTAGAGTTGCATCTGAACATAAAAACAGCACTAACTTAAGTATAATTTAAGTAATTTGACGTGCAAATAATATCACACTCATTTGCTGTGAAATTGAATTAAAGCCTAATCATTTTTATTTTTGCAACAAAACAATACAAGACAATTTGCGCGTGCGCCAATTGGGCAATTGTAACAATAAAAACTTAAATCTTTAATTCAAACGATTTTTTTCGTGACTACAGCAACTCTGAGTATCGTAAGTTTTAGGACGTCATTAACTTTTTTCCTTCGTTTTGATCGTGTGTGAGTGCAAATAAAATTTTTAATTTCCTCGAAGTATATTTGGTGATTCCTGCTCAAGTTTGCGCAATAATTTAATTTGTTGAAATGAGTATGTATTTACTAAAAAGGTTTTGTTAAGGATATTCGCCATATTGCTGTGAAATATATTGAAGTGTGCAGTAATGTTAAACTAATGTGAACGTAGTGGACATTTTGTGTTGTATTTATAATACAAATTTCTTTGTTTGAGAAACTTTAATCTAGTTGTAATTAAAAACATTTTGTAAAGGTTCTTAGTGCAAAATGAGATAAATGTTTACAATTATGTATTCCATAAGCGATGTGTGTTTTATTTATATATATTCAATGTGTAAAATACATATGTAACATGTTTAATTTTTTTTAGTGGAATTGCACTGAGAGTATAAACTAAATCGTAATGGAAAAATTTCCTCTAAAAGGCAGCAGGGAGATTGCAGCTGAAGGGAATAGTTACATTACAGCCTATCAGTCGGTATTAAAAAA